CCCCGGGGCCGGGTGGGGTGCCCAGCCTGAGCCCAGAGTCCGGGGCAGCGGCAGCCCTGAGATCCGACACAGGCCCAGGACCCGGCTACCCTCGTGTGTGCCAGGCAGGCGAGCAGCGGGGTCACTGGACGGCAGCGAAGATGCCCAGAGCGCAGCAGCCCAGCACAGCCCCCGCCCCAGGACGCCTCCCGAGCCCTGTGGTTCCTGCTCTGGGTGGCCCAACTTCTGGTCCCAAACCCCACCCCCACCCCACCTAGCCCAGGGGGGATGGCGGCCGCGGCGGGGGTCGCCCCGGGGCCCATGCCTCGAGTCCCCACCTCTGCCCGGCACACATCCACTCGGGTCGCTGGACAAGTGTTTATTGGGCTCCGCCTGCAGTCTGTCCTGGGCCGCGTGGCCTCCCGTCCAGGGAACCGGGCCCCACAGACCCAACCTCATCGGGGCCAGCAAGGGGGGGAGGCAGCCCTACCGGTGGCGTCTCCCGCCGTCCAGCGACAGCTGCGGCCTCTTCTGCGTGGTCTGGGGAGCCATCGCTGCCACCGTCCCCACCCGCTTCCACCGCCGAGGGGAGCAGGGCCGGGCCAGACCCGGGCCCCTCGCAGGGCCCAGAGCCCATGCACCCGAGGGTCGGCCCCGGGCTGGTCCAGGGAGGCCTGCGTCAAGGTCTACTGTGCTGGAAGGAGGCCGGGCCTCACACCCACAGGTTGCCCGGTGGGCCCTTGTCCTCCCCCGGGTCCTCCGAGAGCCGACCCCCGCGCTCCTCCTCTGGAAACTGGCAGCTGTAGGTGTCCTCAACCACCGGCGGCGCCTCCAGGAGGGGCTGGGTCTCTGCGGAGGGGCCGTGGTCAGTGGGCAGGCCACGGAGGGGCCCGCCTCCCCCGCCTGGGCACAACTGACCTGGGGGCTGCACGAGCTGCCTCCTCAGCTGCCAGAGCTGCAGCGCGAGCTGGGCCGCGGCCACGGCCAGGATACAGGCGCCCAGGACCAGCAGCGCGGTGAGCGGGCAGCGCGGCCCGGCGGGCGGCGGCAGCGGCGGCGGCAGCTCGCACACGGCATTGTGTGTCCTGTTCCCGGGGAACACGGTGCGGAGGCCCGACCGGGAGCAGCTGGGGCACCGGCACACACAGCCCTTCGTCAGCCCTCGGCCACCAGCAGCCCCCGCTACGGCTGCTGCCCGACCTCTCGGGGGTCGCCGCACCCGGAGGGACAGGAGAGCACCCCCCCTCCCTGGGAGCCACCCGAAGGCCCCCCCAGGACTCACTCTGCCCAAGGGTCACATTGGCCCTCGCTGCCCCGGGAGAAGGTCCCCTCGGCACAGTCGACGCATATGAAGCCATAATTGTACTCCCCTGCAGACAGACAGAGGGACGGAAAGACAGATGGACAGGCAGCAGGGCCACTGGTGGGTGTGGACCCCCTCACGTGTCCCCTGGACAGGGGTCTCAGCGTCCTCAGGACGGGGCCCCAGAGAAGCCAGCGTCCGAGTGTGCCTTGTCCAGGGCAGGCGTCTGTGGGGGAGGCAGCCTTGGGGGGACCCGGAGGCCATGACCCTGGGCTGAGTGGAGGCCCCCCGGGGGCACATGGGGAGGGGGGCAGTGATGGGGCCGGGTGGGGTGGAGTGGCAGCAAAGGCCAGGCCTGTGCTGGTCCCGAGGGCCGGAGGGCAGGAGGGCAGCGAGGGTCCCGGACAGAGGGGCCATGGCTGGCGTCCCCATTGGCCCTAGACCTGCCGCCCTCCAGCCTCACAGGACCCCCCTGCATGGGCACCGTCCCAGCCCCTGGACGAGGGAAGGGCCGGCCACGTGGCTGCAGCGCTGACCCACACAGGAGCCCCGCCCGAGGCCGCGTCTGTGTCCCCCAAGCCAGCGAGCTTCCTCCCACGCCCACACACACCGCCCAGGCACAGCCGCTGCTGCGAGTGGCCGCCCAGGCTGAGGCCCAGAGGGACTTACCTTGGGGCTCCGCCTTCTGGCCAGGCGGGCAGGGGTGGTGTTTGCAGGTCTCGCACTGTGGGTCTCCGCAGTGGAACTCGGGCTGCAGACAGGTGCAGGGCCCCCCTGGACAGGCCTCGGCTGGGCGGAGACAAGCTGGCCCCTCAGCAGCTGGGAAGAGTGCTCCTCCCCAGGGCTGCCCCCGTCCAGCCCTCCTGGGCGGAGGGGCATCAGGGCCGGCAGCCCACTCTCAGACGCCACCAGGGGGCAGAGGGCACCTGCCTGGGAGCCAGGACCCTTACTTGGCCCACCGCTCTGCCTGAAGCCGGGCCAGCCCAGCCCGGCGTGGCTGCGGCTGTGGCTGTGGCTGTGGCTGTGGCTGTGGCTGTGGCTGTGGCTCTGCTTGGGACCGGAGCCGTCCCTGCCACACAAGGAAGTGGCCTGGGGGCCGCTCTCACCCTGCACTGCGCCAGCTGCCATGGGCCTGGAATCAGTCTGCCTGCCCTCCTCCCGGCCCCAGCCCCAGGACCCCTCAGGGTGACACCCTGGGGTGTCTTTCCCTTGATATGTGTCCCCAAACAGGCACATTCCACCCGCCCCTCACCCACAGCCGCAGGTCAGAGGCGGGAGTAGGGGGTGCGGGGCAGGAAGTGGCCTGGGTGATGACCAAGGACCCCTTAGGCACTCAGTAGGAGCCAGGACCCCAGGTCCGCCTTGGAAACGGCTTCCGTCCCCTCACCCCGGGTCCGCGCCTCAAGCCGCCGGCGGGAGCCCGGCTGCTTCCACTCCCCGGGCTTGCGGTGGAGCCCGGGGTTCTGGACCTGGAAAGCTTGCCCACTGCTTCACCTCTGCCGGGTCTGCGCACGCGGAGGGAGCGCAGCGCCTCTGAGCCCGAGCCGGGACCCCATCCCCGCCCGCCCGCCCGCCCGCCCGCTGCGCGCCTTACCCGAAGCACACGGGCCGCAGCAGCGCGCGTTCGTCCCGGTGCCTTTCGGAACGCGCCCGGGGCCGCATCTCGGGACCCCGGTGGTACGCTGGCCCAGGCCAAGCGCGCAGAGCAGCGCGACGCCCCACAGGGCCGCCCGCGCGCCCCTTGCGCCCATGGAAGCGTCACCCGAGCGAGCTCCCCAACTTTGGGAAGCCATCACGCCTCACCGGGCACGCCCAGACCCCGCCCCACGGGGCCGCACGCAGCCCCGCCTCTACCACGCCCCGGGGGCGAGAGAAATTGCTACCACCTGGACCCCCAACACGCAGCGACTCGGGGCTTACGGGGCAGGCGGAGCGCAGGGGATTGGGGGCAGCGAGACTCCTCCGAGACCATCCTGGGGAACGCAGTCAGGGCACCTCTGTGCAAACCGCTGAATGCACAGCACGGAGGGACCCTAATGTAAGGGGGGCTCCTGGGTGATGGTGGCGTGTCCGTTGTGACACATGCACCCTGTGGGGACGTTGGTAAGGGCGACCGCTGCGCGTGGGTGGGGGCCGATGGGGAGTCTCTACGTGCCCCTCAATTTCGCTGTGAACCTGAAAGTGCTTTGAAAAATAAAGCCTGTTTCTTCCGAATCTAGTGGGTCCCAGCCGCTGAGGTCGGAGTCCACTGACTGGTGCTCCAGACACATGTGGAGGGACCTTGGGGGTCCCTAAGTGCTCCTGCCTGACCTCTTCCCGGGAGCTCCTGTCCACACACCCCCCCCAGCCCAGCGGTGAGCGGCGCGGGGGTGGGGGAGGTCTGAAAGTCTCTCTATGCAAAGCCTGTGGCCACCTGGTCTGCAGAGACGGGGGGTGTGGGCAGGAGGGCAGCAGGGGTGGGCTCTGGACGTGGGTGGTCAGTCAGGCCCTGAGTCATCGTGGGTGGGCACTGCCCGCAGGTGGGTTCTCAGGAGGGACCTCCCGTGCGGGTGGCACTGAGCCTGAGCGGTTCCCTCCCGGGGCCCCTTGGCTCCTGGCCGAGTCCCCTCCCACCTCCAGCCTCCCTGGACTCTCAGGGGGAGTGGGGGGCAGCCCCCGTCCTCCCCGAAGCCCCCAGACCCGGAGCCCCACCTGCCCCAGGTATGGCCACACCCACTAGGCCTCGGCTCTGAGCTCAGCACCCAGCAGCCTGGGGTCCCACCCAGGGGTCAGGAGGAGCGCCCCACCCGCTTTCTGGGAATTAGGATGAGAGCCCCTCCACTTCGAAGCGTTACGATGAGCCTTCTTCCTGACGGGGCCACCCCAGCCTGGCGGGGCTCCAGCAGCTTGGGACGCCCCCCATGTCCCCGTGGGTGCAGCCTGCAGCCACCCTGCCCGTGCTTTTGAGCCCCAGGGAGCCTCTCCCCCTCCCAACCCAGGGGGCTCCTCGGCATGTGGGAGGGTCCCCGGAGGACGGTGGGCGAGGGGCCGGGGTGCTGGTGGAAGCTGGAGGCCCATGGAGCCTGCGCAGGCACAGCCCTGACCGCCGAGGGGCTCCAGCTCGGATCTCCCTGCACAGACCTGGTCATCCTGGAGGCTATGGAGCCCCAGCCCTCGCTGGAGCTCCTGAGCCACAGAGAACAGCCTCCAACTCACCTTGACACGGTCCCTTGTCTCTCTGAGCCTCAGCTTCCCCATGTGGCACTGAAGGACTCTGGGGCCTGCCTCCTCCAGGAAGCCCAGCTAGATTGTTTGGCTTTGTTTCCCTGCCCTGCTGAGGCTCAGCCCCGGGGAGCTGGCGGAGCCTGCTGGGGGTGTGGGGGCTGGGCACTGGGGTCTCCAGGTGGCCGGGGGTGGGGGGGCAGGTGCCCACGGCCGGAGGTGTGCCGGCTGTGATGCCGACAGGCCCAGAAGACCTGCGTGGGGTCAGCTGTCCCTTTTCCGAGAGAAATGATGGGAGTGAGGGGGTTGTGACTCAACCCTTGCTCTCAGGTCCTCAGACAGGGGTCTCCAGGGTGGTTGTGGCTCCCAGCTGCCGGAGACCCTGAAGGTAAGGTGGCACCGGTGGGGCCAGGGAGCCCCGAGATCTGTATTCAGGTCCTAGTGGGGAGGTGGGTCCGAGAGCGACGGCAGAAAGGGAGGCCATGTGGCCCCACCTGGACACCAGGTAAAGGTGCTCTGAGTGGAGAATCGGGGCACTGTTTATTTTACAGGCGGGGGAGGCCAGGTCTGTGCTAGCATGCGACCTTCGGTTCGGTGAGCGCCCAGAAAACACACTACACCCCCTACAGCGATGCTTGTCCTTTGGTCCTTCCCAGAAGGGCGGTGGGAACCTTCTGGAGTCAGCAAGGTGGGCGGGGGCGGAGTCACCGCCCTCACCTGCAGCTCTGCAGACGCCAGGGGCCCAGCCGTGTGCTCAGAGGGCGGCGCGAAAAGCCGTTGAAAGGCAGAGTGAAGCCAGAAAGCACCGGTGCCCACGCCTGCCTTCCTGTCCCCGCCACGGGGCGGCCCCTCGAGCCGGCGCGGCTTCCGCGATGGGCAGTGGGGCCGAGGTGATTTTCTGCTTGCCTTTGTTTCCAGCTTTATCAACAGCTCACAAGCAGCTGCGAACCTGCATCGTACCGTTTATTCCGGCTTTCGGAAGCAACCCGTGTGTGTGCCACGAGGGGCCCACGGGGGAGTCTGGCATTCACCAGAGGGCCGGGGTGCGGAGAGGCGGAGGGTTGCCACTCCACAGGGCCAGACGGGGGAGCCGGAAGGGGGCACGCCAGGTGGGCGCACCACCTGGGCCCTGCGGCTGGGGGGCAGGATGCAGCTCAACACCAGGCCTGGGACTCGGGCAGGAGAAAGCCTGGAGGGCGTCAGCAGAGCCAGTCCCAGACAAGGGGCAGCGCAGAAGCGACGGGGAAGTGGCCACCCTCCGTCCACGCCTCTGTCCCACAGTGGACACGGAGCCCCGGGCTGGGGTGGGCGTGGGGAGAAGCCCTTCCCCATGACCCCCGGCCTTCTAAGCCCCGAAGTCCAGACCCTCCCTTAGGCCCCATTTGGAGGCCCTGTCCCCACAGCGGGGGTGACAGCCCTGTTCGGCCCTGCTGGGGCCCGTGGAGACCGATGGCTTCCTTCCCTTTGCAGCTGGAGGGTCCGGGGATGGGGTCAGAGGTCTGAGGGGGAAAGGTCAAGGCCCGTGGGGCGACTGTGGAGAGCGAGCTGCCGGCAGGCGGGAAGCCCCGGTCGGTCGGTCGGTCGGCGGGGCTGGAAGGGCCGGGCCGGACATGGCCCGGGCAGGGCTCTGCCCCGTGCACCGCGCTGGCGCTCGCGCGTGCCGTCCCCCGGCCCCTCCCGGCAGGCAGCACCCGAGCAGGCCCCGAGGGCGCGCCCCCTCCCGCCGTGGCCTGTGGTTTCGCTCACTTGGGCTGGTCCCACGCAGCTTCCTGTCAGCGTTTCCACGCTGGATCCCGGCTTCCTGTGCCCTTTCTGCCCTCGGTCTGGTTCCGCTGGGGCGGATGCTCGCTGGCAGGGCTGCCGGGGCCGGCTGCTGTCACGGGCGGGCGCGGCCGGTCTCTTTCCGAAACGCCCTGGGCGGCCGTCCACGCCGCACGCCGCGGAGGGCCGCCCCCGAGTGCTGGCCGGGGGCTGTCTGAGCGCGCCAGGACGTCTCCGCCCCCCTTGCTGTTCGGGTGGACGTCCGGGCGTCCGCTTCGAGGCCCAGCGCTCACGTCCCACCAGGTCCCTGCCTGCAGGGCTCGGGAGCGTGGCCACCCTCGAGGACCCTGGGGGTGCTCGGCCCTGGGCACCCGGAGGGCACCGAGCAGCACCGGAGACCAGGGGCACGGGTGGGGGTCCGGGTCACCACAGGCCCATGGCGGCGGGCACAGGCTTTGAGGGGCTGGGAGGAGGGGCAAGCCACACGGGGCCCTCCTGCAGGGACAGTGGGGCCGTCCTCGCTGCTCCCCTGAAACCTGGGCCTCAGTGTCCCCCCTGCGCCGTGAGCTCTGAGCCCAGGACCCCGCCGACCCCCGGCACTGGGCCCCGACCTTCGCTTTGGCTCCAGGCCGCCCGCAGGGCTGTCTGGGCCAGAGACCGGGAGGACGGCGCCCCGGGGCCCCAGCGCCCCGGCCCCCACGCGCGTGCCCACAGGCGCCCAGACTGAGACCGCGTCGGCCGACGGCGTTTATTGGGGGCCACCGCGGGTGGAGTATGCATGGCATACATAGCCGAGCCCGGGGGCGAGCCCAGGCGCGCCTAGAACGGCGCAGGGCAGGCGACAGGGTGCCGGGGGGACGGGGCGACAGAGCGGCAAGCCAGGGCGGGTGCCGGGGCGCCAGGGCGAGGGGCCGGCAGGACGAAGGGGTGGCAGGGCGCAGCTGCTCAGAGCTTGGCCAGGGCGGAGTGGGCGTCCGAGTGCTCCTCCTGGACGGGGGTCCGGCAGCTGCTCCCTCCTGGCAGGGGCGGGGAGAGCAGAGGTGGAGGTGAGCCGGGGCCTGGGGCTCCGGGTGGGCGGTCCAGGCAGGTGGCAGTGGCACTCACCGGGGGGCTTGGCGTGGGGGGCAGGCAGCCTCCAGGCCTTGTAGTGCTGCAGCAGGACCAGCGCGGCGGCCACCGGGGCCAGCAGGCCCAGGCACAGCCCCAGGCCCAGGACGGCGGCCAGCTCGGGGCCTGCGGTGAGAGCAAGGCTGGGCGGGGTCCACCAGAGGGGGCCCCCCTCCCCACACCCACCCTCTGGATTGGGGGCCCCGGTGGGGGAGGCCAAGCACCCTTACCCCTAGGGGACTCCGCAGGGGGCATGGCAGGCCCCTGTGAGGACCTGGCCCAGGCGGTGGGGGGCTGGGTGGTGGGGACCAGGGCTGGGGAGCCTGGGGTCCTCTCAGGGAGGGTGGCTGGGGGCGTCCTGCCCTCACAGACGGCGTCCGAGCTGTTGCTGCCGGCCCTCAGGGTGCGCTTCCCCTCCAAGGTGCAGCTGAGGGCAGGGGCGTTGTCAGGGACCCGTGGGGCCCATGGGTTTGATGGGGGGCCTCCGGCGGCACCAAACCCCACAACGCAAGGGGGGGTGGAGGAGGGGGATGGGGCTCGGCCGCCCCCAGGAAGCTCAGCCCCACCTGCAGGGTCTCCGAGGCTGTGGCTCACCCCCATGTCCCCTCCCTCACTCTGCTCCCCAAGGGCTCCTCCCGGCCCTGCCCGCAAACCCCTGCCCCCTCAGGAAGCCCTAAAAGACGACCTCCCAGGGGCGGCTGAGTGGGGGCCTCCCGCACTCCCTGGGCCAGGTGGCTCAGCTCCCCCTCCCGCCCAGTGGGAAGGCCAGTGGGCGGAGGCTGGCCCGGGGCTGGGCATGGGACGGGCCACAGTGGGGGACGGGTCCAGGAGCTCCCCGAGCCAGCAGGCTTCCTGCTTCTGGACGTGGCTCCTGGCTCCCAGGTGGCCAGGCCCCTGGGCCTCCCGGTCCCTGGGACACTCACTTGGTCCAGGGTTTGCAGGCCGAGTTGTCACCGGCGGAGAAGTGTCCTGGTGGGCATGGGGCACAGTCTGCCACAAAGACAGCACAGTCTGCAGTGAAGACTGCGTTCAAGGCCCAGCCCTGTGCTGCCTGCCCCTCAGCCTCTGGAAGCCCCTCCCGTACGCCCCCCGCCCGGGCCGGACCCGGAGCCCCCAGCCCCTGCACCCACACCTGAGCGTGACCTGTTGGGAGACGGGGCCCAGGGCCTGGGAGAGGAGTGCCGGGGAGGAGGTGGCAGCGTGGGATGCGGGGGACATGGGCAGGCCCCGGCCCGGGCTCACCAACGCCTCGCTTGAAGCCGCCGCGGGGCTGGGTGCCGGGCCGGCAGCTGCAGACGGTGTCGTTGGTGGCTGTGCACATCCGCTTGACTTCGCTCCCACTTCCTGCAGGACGCGGCTGGTCTCAGGCCGAGGGCCCGAAGTCTCCCACCCCATCCAGTGGCCCCCCGGACGCCTGGAGACCCCTCGAGGCGGCCTCCCTCCTGGCCACGTGGACCAGGCACAGCCCCGGGGCAGCCTGGCCTCCCTTCCCGCCCTCCCTCCAGCCCACAGGACCCTCCGTGGCCCGAGGGGCCACGTGGCCGACACACACCACACCCCGAGTCCACGTGGTCTCGGCTCCCCGGGAGGCGGGAGGTGCCGCCGGGGACCCCCAGGAGGAGCGAGCCCCGCTGTGGTTCGGGGCCGGTCCTGCGGCTGGGGGACCCCGGGAGCCTCCTGGGCGCGTGACCGTGGGGGGCGGGGGCGGGGCCGGGCCTCACGCTGGTTGCACTGGGTGCAGGGTTTGCAGGTGTCGTAGTTCACGGCCTCGTTGTAGAACCCCGGCTGGCAAGGCAGGCACAGCGAGTCCCGGCTGTCGGTGCAGCGGCTCAGCATCTGAAAACCTGCGGGGGGAGTCTCGGGGCTGTGCCACCTGGCCCGGCCCCGGCCCGGCCGGGCGCGAGGTCCCTGCCGCCCGCCCTGTCCCCGGCTCCCATGCCCCCGGGCCCCCGCTGGCGCCCCCCCGCGTCCCCACAGGCAGGCCGGCCGGCCGCTCACCTGGGTCGCACTCCTTGCAGCACCTGCCGCCCCTGGGGTAGGTGTTCTCCCTGCAGACGGGCTGGGCCGCGGCGCCCAGCCCCAGGAGCAGCAGGGCGGAGCGCAGCGCCCCGGGCCACGGAGCACCCACACACCTCCTCATCGCACCGGCGGCACAGGAGTCTGGGGGTTTTCCTTGCAGGATGTGGCTATAAAGGCTGGGGAGGAGGGGCAGGGCGGGCGTGAGGAGGAGGGGACCGGGAGGACACCCCTAGACTGCACGGCCACTCACTGCCAGGGCGTCGTGCGTCCTGTTCCCGGGGAACACGGTGCGGAGGCCCGACCGGGAGCAGCTGGGGCGCCGGGACACACACCCCTTCGTCAGCCCTCGGCCACCAGCAGCCCCCGCTACGGCTGCTGCCCGACCTCTCGGGGGTCGCCGCACCCGGAGGGACAGGGGAGCCCCGCCCCCCGAGAGCCCCCGAAGGCCCCCCCCAGGACTCACGCTGCCCAAGGGTCACAGTGACCCTTGCTGTCCCCGGAGAAGGTCCCCTTGGCACAGTCGACGCATATGAAGCCAAAATTGTAGCTCCCTGCAGACAGACAGAGGGACGGAAAGACAGATGGACAGGCAGCAGGGCCACTGGTGGGTGTGGACCCCCTCACGTGTCCCCTGGACAGGGGTCTCAGCGTCCTCAGGACGGGGCCCCAGAGAAGCCAGCGTCCGAGTGTGCCTTGTCCAGGGCAGGCGTCTGTGGGGGAGGCAGCCTTGGGGAACCCACAGGCCATGACCCTGGGCTGAGTGGAGGCCCCCCGGGGGCACACGGGGAGGGGGGCAGTGATGGGGCCGGGTGGGGTGGAGTGGCAGCAAAGGCCAGGCCTGTGCTGGTCCCGAGGGCCGGAGGGCAGGAGGGCAGCGAGGGTCCCGGACAGAGGGGCCATGGCTGGCGTCCCCATTGGCCCTAGACCTGCCGCCCTCCAGCCTCACAGGACCCCCCTGCATGGGCACCGTCCCAGCCCCTGGACGAGGGAAGGGCCGGCCACGTGGCTGCAGCGCTGACCCACACAGGAGCCCCGCCCGAGGCTGCGTCTGTGTCCCCCAAGCCAGCGAGCTTCCTCCCACGCCCACACACGCCACCCAGGCACAGTGTCCCGCTGCGGCGAGTGGCCGCCCAGGCTGGAGCCCGGAGGGACTTACCTTGGGTCTCCACCTCCTGGCCGGGCGGGCAGGGGTGGTGTTTGCAGGTCTCGCACTGTGGGTCTCCGCAGTGGAGCTCGGGCTGCAGACAGGTGCAGGGCCCCCCTGGACAGGCCTGGGCTGGCGGGGACAAGCTGGCCCCTCAGCAGCTGGGCCAAGCCCCCTGGCACCTGCAGCCCCGGCGAGCTCCCGGGGAGGAAGGGGAGGCAACACCAATCCTCGTCCCTCAGCGAAAGAGGCCCAGAGTCCACGGGTAAACTGAGGCAGCCCCCTCGGTCAGGCGACAGGGCCCACAGTCTGGACCTTCGCCCAGCACCAGCTTCGGGGGAGGGGAGAGCCCCGGGCCGCAGAGCAGGACCACAGGCCCCCGCGGGGCGGCAGCTGTGCGGGTGGACGCGTGCGCAGCTGGGTCTGAGCGCAGCAGGTGCTGGGGTGACACTGGGCTCCCAGGTTCGCGTGCGGAAGCCCGGACCCCAAGCGGCTGTGTCTGGAGACGATCTCGGTCAGAGGTCACGGGGCGGGACCTGACCCCACAGGACTGGCATCCTCTCAAGAAGCGGGAGCAACCCCAGGGAGCCCCCCGGAGGGACGACCACGCGGCGTCACGCACAGGTGGCTGCCCACCAAAGACAGCAACTTCGGGACACCAGCCTGGCCGGCACCCGGACGCCGCAGGCCCAGACCCGGGGCTGGGGACGGGGAGCCCCCGGCCGCCCAGGCCACCGTCCACCTCCGGCGCTCCCGCCGGCCAGCCTGGGCAGAGCAGCACGCGCAGCCAAGCGGGCGTCTGCCCCGTCCCGGGGGCCGTGGCCTGGAGAGGGGGGGGCGTCCTGTGTCTGTGTGTGTGAGGGGCACGGGGCACTGGCCCCCCCCACGCTGGAGGGCACGTGTGGCTGCCCCCAGGTGCCCCCGGGCCTGTGCTGGGGCAGTTTCCAAGAGGACAGACTCTCAGCACCCCTCACGGGGACGGACTGGAGTGGCCTGTCCACGGTCCGTCCTGGGAGCGCGCGGCACCCTCCAGGGTGGCCCCGGGCAGTCCCAGGACAGGCAGCCGCCACAGCGGTCGCAGGGGAAGCATGCAGGCGCACACGTGTGCACGGACACGTGCCTCCCGCCGGGTGCGAGGCGGGGAGGCATGCTTGGGCTGTTTTCGTCCTTTCAGACCGGGCGGGCGGCACGGGCTCACCTATCTGACAGCTAATTTAAGAAGTTTCAGGCACAGAAGCCTGGAAAGTCCCCTCCTCCTGGGACACTCAGGTACCAGCCAGCTCCCAGCCCACCTGTGGGAAATCCCCTGGACTCCACGGCCCAAACAGGGGCCGCCTTCCCGAGCCTCTGGAGTGAGGGTCCACACGGCGGTCCCAGGGGGTGGGGGTCAGGGCGTCTGGGCAGCCCAGCCTGCGTGTGTGTGAGCGCACCCCGTCTCCCACTGACGGTGAGAAAAGTCTTTCTGCCACATGAAGAGAACTGCAGCCCTGGCGGGTGCGGCTCAGCACACTGAGCACCGGCCTGCGAACCAAAGCGTCACCGGTTCAATTCCCAGTCAGGGCGCACGCCTGGGTTGGGGGCCAGGTCCCCCGTGGGGGGCACAACAAAGGCAACTGATCGGCATTTCTCTTCCTCTCTTTCTCCCTTGTCTGAAAGTGATCCAGAAGAAAGAAGGCAACAGAACTGCAGCCTCAGGTCCGGGGGGCAGTGCCCTATCCTTCCCTGGGGCCGACTCGGGGCCCCTGCCCCCGAGCTCTGGGGTCTGTCCCGTGAGGCCCCGCGGGTCCGGCCCCGGGGTGCCCACCCCCAGGTGAGCCCCGGGCGCTGACAACCCCACGTCCCGCGGGCCCAGCCTCCCCTGTGGGCCCGGCTGCCGGGCGATCAGCCGGCCTCTCTGCCCAAGCTCACAGCTGCTCACACCCACCCACCCTGCCCTAGCGCCTGGCCCACCAGGGCCTCCTGCCACCGAGGTCCCCGCTCCCGTCTCAGCTCTGAAAACAGTCTCTGCTTTGTTTTTGTGGGAACCCAGGTGTCGCCCCGCCCGTTCCTCTGCGGTGGCCTGACCCGGGCTGCTGGGAAGTGGGCCCCGTGGCAGGGCTGGTCTTGGGAGCCCCCCGCCTCCCGGGAGGGGCCCGCACAGGCCCCCCCCAACCTGCCGGCCCGAGAGCTGCACTCGGAGGCCCCAGCCTGCCAGAGGGAGCCGGCCAGCAGACGTGCCAGCCAGCACGGGGCCCGGCCAGCCCCCAGGAAGGCTCTGGTCGGCCTCCAAGCGCCACCCAGAGGAGCCACGCGGAGGGGACCGCCCGGCCCAGCAGCAGCCCGCACTGCCCCTCCCGTTCCCAGGTCTCAGCCCCGTCGGGCCCCTCCGGGCCCTGCCCAGCCCTAGAGCAGTGGCTCGGGGCTCGTCCTCGGGTGCCCCCTGCTCCTGGGACTCCCACTCCCGACGGGCCCCGCAAGAGCGGCCCCCACTACCCTGGAGCGGCCCCCATCCTGCCACTGGGCCGGCACCGGACACAGGGTGGGGCGTGGCGTCCTAGCCAGACTGCCCACCTCACGAGCATCGAGGGGAAGCCCCCCGGCCTTGGTGTTCCGAACTGCTGTGCGAGTTTTTGTCCGAGGAGAGAATAAAGCTCAGAGAAGGAGACAACTATATTTTAAAGTAAGTTAACGTGATTCCTGCCACAAGTATGGGTTTCGTCAGAGACCGAACCCTGACGGCCGCTGGGACAGCCGCCCGCCACAGCCACCGCCACGGCCCCAGCTCGGCCAGAGCACGGCTGCTGGGGCCTCAGCCCTCACGTCAAGGAACCGGGAGCCGCGCTGCTTCCCACGGCTCACGAGCCTGCAGGCCCTGATGTGGTCGGGCCCCGGGGCCCCTCCCTCGGGGTTCTCAGAAGCCAGATGCTGAGATTATGCGGGCCTCCTGCAGGCGCCCCGGGCGGGTGGGCGGGCTCAGAACTCCTCGTGCACGTTGCGGGCGTAGTCCATGAGCTTGCTGCCCGTGAAGAACTCGCTGTACTTGAGCACCTCCTCGGGCTCCAGGTGGCGGTTCTGGTTCTCGTCGGCGACGGCGATCATCTGCTTGGCCTCCGTGAGGGCGTTGTACTCGTTCATGGGGTCCATGTACTCCTGCAAGGGCCCTGCGCCTGTCAGCACCTCCGGCCCGCGGCCGTGACACCCCCAGGGCGTCCCTCACCCCCCACGCCAGCCCGGGGCCGGCGCCCTCGGCCGGGGACTCGGCTGGGCCCACTGTCACAGCCAGCCCCAGCTTCTCGTGACAGCTGTCAGCTGGGGTCTGCAACGGGTATGCAGGTGTGTCCTGGAATGTTCTGGAAAGCAGATGCCAGGCCGGCAGTGGCTCAGGGCCGTGTGGGCGCTGCCTCCGTGGGCCCCGGGGGGCGGGCGGGGAGAGGAGACCCTGCCTGGCACAGCGGAGCCGGCGGGCCGCGTGGACACAGACTGAACTGGCCACCGGTCCGCAGTGGGGACGGGAGCCCCAACCCCAGGCTGCCCGCCAGCTCTCACCGGGGATCGGCGAGTTCTCGTGTGAAATGAGATGACTCATCCACGGCGGGAAAAACAAGCTCCCCGGCACCGACCCACGGAGGGGAAAAGGCCGCGTCCTCGTCCCGGGACGCCCGGCTGCCCAGAGCCAGGACTGGCCACGTGAGCCCTGCCACCCAGACCCGGGGACAGGCACGGCCAGATGCCGGCAGTCACGCAGCCCCGCTGAGCGACCACCACCCCCCCCGCTCAGGCCCCCCTTGCAGGTGGCGCCCCCCACTCGCTGAGGCCCAGGGGCGCCCCGCGCCCACCTCCAGCTCCTCCATGGTCACGACCCCGTCGTGGTTGGCGTCGATCAGCTCCTCGAACTCCTTCCTGCGGTCCCTCACCCAGCTGTCGTCGATGTCCTGGCCCCGCTGGTTCTCCACGGTGCCCACCGGCAGGGAGATGAACTCGGGCAGGGAGAGCTGCTTGTCGCCGTCCTGGTCTGCGGGACGAGGGGGCGCTCAGGCCTCGAGCGGCACGGGGCCCCGGGGGCCACCGAGCAGGGTCCGCCGAGTGGGTTTGCTGCCGGGTTTTCAGCTTGTGATTTCAGGCTAAAGTCAGACGGCTGCGTCTCGCAGGGCTGCCGGGCACCGGGCTGGGGCCACGTGCGCCCGGGGGCCACCCCGCCGAGGGCCCACTCACACTGACCCCCCGCCAGGAGGACCGGCGAGCTGCTGGCGGGAAGGGCTGGCCTCCCCCCCCGGGCAGGCTGGGGCCGGGCCTCACCCAGGTCGCGGACGATCTCCTTGACCATGAACCGGAGCATGCCGCGGCTGTGCTCAGGGTGCAGGAAGGACAGGAACTCCTCCTCCGTCAGCAGCAGGTCCGGGGGTGGGTTGTCCGCCTGGTACCAGCGGTCCTTGAGGTTCTCCAGGACTTCCTGTGCTGGGAGAGGCGCGCCTGTGGGCACCCCGGCACTCGGGACGCATCCAGGGGGCGTCCGGGGGGCTCCGAGGCCCGCTGCCTGAACGGGGCGGCCAGCTCAGGACACGGCCGCGCAGGGCCCCAGGCTCTGCCCCTGGGCGGAGAGGGCAGCCCCCCGCCGTGTGCGGCTCGGAACCACCCCCTGGACGCAGCCCCCCGTGCAGGCGCAGCCCCCGACACGCTGCCCCGTCAGAAAAGCGGCCCGAGCCGGGGACGGAAGCCGGACTTCGCCCCTTCACGTCCCTCTGGGCGCCAGAGGGCAGCCCCCTTCCCCGCCCCCCGTGGCAGGGCTGGGCAGGGGGGCCGCAGGGACCACCCTGCGCCAACACGGCAGGAGCGGGCTGGACGCTGGGCCTCTGCCGTGCCCGGTCCTGCCAGCTTTGGCGGCGCGCCGACCACCTCTGGGGGACACGGGTCTGCGCTGGCCGGCTGCCGGAGGGCAGGCTGGGAGCGGCTGGTGGCTCCAGCCCACCACGCCGAGGGGGCGGGACGGCACGGACTTGCAGGTCTGCCTGGAGCCTGACTCGGAGAGAAGCTCTTCCCAGCTGCAGCGAGGGAGGGAGGGACCCGGGACGAGGGCGCCGGGGCAGACCCAGCACCCGGCGGCAAGCGCCCTCGTGCGAGAGGACAGGTGACGGAGACAGGAGTGACGGGGCCGCAGGCAGGGACACCAGACGCCGCAGGGGTGCCTGGGACAGGCCCCGCCCGGAGCCCTGGAGGGGAGAGGAGCCCCACTCTGGGGGGGGGCGCGCAGCAGGAGAAGCAAAGAGACAGAAACGTGAATGGGCCTAACTCGCCTGCTACCAGAGAACCCAGACGGACTCACAAAACAAAGCCCCACTCCTGGTCCACGAAAACACACACTGTGGAGAGAATGCCAGCAGAGGTCTGTGGTGGGCCCCCCCCACGGACCCCCCACGGGAAGAAGAGCGCCCGCCACCGCTGAAGCCCCCCCCGTGAGGCAGAGGGACGCTCCCACCCAGCCCCCAACCACACGGGCGCCGGGCGAGGGAGCAGGCCTGCAGCGCCTCTCTCGAGCACGGGCGCCGAAGCCCCACGAGACATCAGCGAAGCGAGGCCGGCAGCAGCGGGGGCAAAGGAGGCGGGACCAGGACCCGGACCGGGACCAGGACCAGGACCCAGGACCGGGACCGCCGGCCGGTCTGCGTCTGACGGGCCGAAGGGGAAAGTCCACGGGCACGTCGGCCGCACAGGAAGCATCTGGCGAGTCCCAAGCCCCCGCGCGGCCAAACCGCCAGCACAGGGGAAGAGGGGACACCTGCTCCAGCCGCCGAGAGAACCCACAGACACCCACAGCCAGCGCCGTGCTCGCTGGGGAGGCCTCGAAGTCTCGGGAGGACGAGACAGGGGGCCGGGGCTGGGGGGAGGAGGGCCGCCCCGCCACAGCAGGGCCGGGCCGCAGGCCAACCCGGTGCCAGCCGCCCTCCGGGGCGCTGGGAGGGGCGCGTGCCAGGGCTGACACCCCGACGGCAGGGCCGCGGGGCTGACGGCAGCCGGGCCCGCCAGTCCACGGAGAGACTCGGCCGAGGACCAGCGTGGCCGGGGCACCCTCACCCAGCAGCGGATGGCAGGGCGATGGGGACGCCCCCGAGGCTGTGACACTCCCCACACTCAGCCGGTGGCCAGGACACTCAGGGCAGCGTCTCGGCAGACGCCTCGGCGACTGGGGCGCTGGGACCACGGCGGGGGATGACGGCCCGCAGATGAAGGGAGAACCAGACCCACAGGCACCACACGGCCCGGTCCTCGTGCCCCCAACAAGCCCCAGCGGCGCCCGGCTGCGCACACGCCCCCAGGGGCCTCCTCCAGCCCGCCAGGCTCCGACGCCGCACGGTGGCCCCCGCGGTGCTGTGGCCCTGGGGCGCGGCACTCACTCTCCTCATCCACCTTCAGCTCCTGGTCGTTCTTGATCTTCTCGGCCACTTCCCTCTCGTTGTGGCCTTTGCTGGCCAGGAACTTCACCTTGTACTCGTCCCAGGACACGCGGCCTGAGAGGGCAGACCGTCCCATCAGCAGGTCTGACGAGGAACGCTTTCCACGGGGGAACTTAATCACTTGACGGCGCCCGTCGCAAACCCCCACGTGAGGGCAGCGTGGAGGCCGCTGTGCCCGGGAGGCCGCCAGCCCCCGTCCTGGCTGGCAGGGTGAGCGGCACCCACGGGGGCCCACGGGCTCTCACTGCTTCGTCTCGGTCTGCCCGGCCCCCCAGGGTCGGGGTCAGGGTTGGGTCGGGGCCATACCGTCACCGTCGGGGTCCACGGCGCGGAAGTGCGCCCTGCTCTCGCCCACGGCCTCCTGGAAGTGCTCGGCCGTCTTCTCCACGATCCAGCGCTGCAGCTCCTGGGCGCTGATCCTCCGGTCGGCGTTCACGTCCACCCTGCGGGCGGCGGGCCGGTCAGGCAAGGCCAGGGCCCCGGCAGACAGCACGGAGGGACACGGGGCGGCCGAGGGCCCCGCAGGCAGCTGTGCAACTGCCAGGACAGCGACACTCTGCACCCCGTGGGAAGGGCAGGGACGAGGGGCGGGAAGGACGCCAGGGGCGTGGGGGCGGCGGACGCAGAGGCCAAGGCTGGGCGCTGTGAGCAGCAGCACGAGCGGCTGGGACAACACCCGTGAGTCCACAGGGACAGACATCAGGGGAGGGCGGCCCCCACAGACCTCCACACGGGACACAGGGTCCGGTCCCTCGGTACCAGGAGGGGCAGGAGGGACAGGACGCAGAGCAACTCCACCGGTGGTGACACCACCTGACCCAGGTGACCCTGGACAACACCCCCTGAGATGCCACCTGGGCGTCTGACCCCACACCACCCCACCTGCCCACAAGCACGCCCGTTAGCACCCCAGGCCTCCCAGCTTGCAGCTGGGCCCACACCCTTCCTGGGGACCCACAGGGACAGGCGCCGCCCCACCCCCTCTCGTGGGCCGGCTCCGCCAGCCGCAAAGAAGCCGCCTGCCACCTGCCAGCTCGACTTGGTTCGCAGCCTTTCTCTGCCCCCCGGAACAGCAGACTGCACTCCAAAGGTCCAGGAGGCGGCCCCAGCGCTGTTCCCCAGCCCCAGCCCTCCGCTCCCCGCACCCGGCCGGCAGGTCGACCAGCAGGCTCCACGGGCTGACTGCTGCCGCCGGCTCTGCACCCCAGCGGCAGGAGGCTCCTCTCCTGGCCCCAGCGCGGAGCCTCAAAGGCCCTGGTCTGGCCGTGGCCCCTCTCCGACGTCTCGCCCAGTGCGCAGACACCCGACGCCGAGGGTACCGCACTTGGTGACCAGGTTCCTGCTATCTCGGCTCCCTCAGCCTACAGGGGCCACACCTGGAGTCTCCCTGATTGGGCAGAACCTGCCCACCCACCTTCAGAACACCCGGCCTGGCCCAGCCCGGGTCTGCACGCCCCTGGCCCCCGCTGTCCCCCACCAGCTCTCTACCCTGGTCCCCCGCTGCTCCTGGTCCCCTGGGTGTGGACGGGGGCCAGTACCAGGCCTTAGGGTGTCCGACCCGGGAAGCAGGGCGCCAGGTGATGTGACCCACACAGGAGCACACGAGGCTAAGTCCAGCTGCCAGGGCCTCGTCCTGAGTCCCTGTCCTGCCTGCCAGGCCCCTCACCTCCCTCGGGTGGCTCCAAAGCCCCAGGCCACATGACCGCACGTGGGGGATGGTGGGAGTGCTCACAGCGGCGGAACCCCCGGTCTCCTTCCCGGAGCAGAGCCACGAGCACCCACCCTCCAGTGGGCCCCCTGCACCCTCCAGCCCGCCCCACGCCTCACAGGCACCACCAGGCCTCCTCGAACGGGCACTGCGGCCACTCCCGCAGCCGCCTGTCTCCCACTCACCACCGCGGGCACGGGCCTGGGGCCACCGCGCAGGGCGGGCAGCCCCTCACTCTGGCCCTCCGCGAGCCCCCGACCCAGCACGCTGCTCGACGCCTGCAAACCTCCCCAGTGTCGCCAACCAACAGCACGTGTCACTGCGCCTTCCTCCCAAGCTCGTCACCAAGTGGGCCCGCGCGCCCTCCCGCACCACGCCACACCAGGACTGGACCAACGCCAGCTGCCCACATGCACTCTCAGCCTCCCAGGCCCCCTGGGCACCTACTTGGAGAAGATGACCATCAGCTTCCTGCGGCTCTTCCGAGGCTCCGCGTCCTCCTCGAACCCGTCCGTGTCCTTTCCCAGGAAGACCTCCTGGTGGAAGTCCTTGTTGAGGTGGCCATCCATCTCCAGCTTCACCCCGTTCAGGTGGTCCGGGGGCAGGATCTCGCTGTCCTCCCTGCGGCCTGCTCTGTCCCGGGTGGACGAGTGGTTGGCAGGCCGGGCGGACGCCCCAACCAGCAGGACGGCACCCAGGAGCCAGAGGCTGCGAGGAGCCAGGCTGCAACCGGGAGCCTGTGTGGACGGCATGGCCGCCTGGGCCCGACCGCGAGACGGCCTGCAGGCGTGGCCAGTAGCTGCGGAGAGAGGAGAGGCAGGCGAGGGAGTGAGGCCACAGCCCCCGGCCGCCAGACCCCGACGAGCGGTCAGCTGTCCACAGAGACAGCACTGAGCCAGGGCTGGACAAGCCTTGGACGGAAAAGACAGTTTCTCTGTAACACAAAAGACAAGCCCTCGGACCCACGAGAGGCAGAGTGGCCGAGCCTTCTCCGGAGAGGGAGGGTGTCCAGCCCCGCCCCTCCTCCTCAGGTGCAGCAGCCCCTTCCGGGTGTGTCTCTGTCCCTGCCGGCGTGGAGGCTGAACCCTCTGGAGACCCCCGCGGGCCGCTTGTGAGCTGTGACTGGCTGAGCTGCCCGGCCTCCCTGCCTCAGTTTCCCTCTATGGAAGAGGGAGCCCCCACCCTGACCCCAGGTCTTTGTGAGGACTGGGCGTGGTGCCGGCAAACACCCAAACACACCCAAGGGGCACCGGCCCCTCCCACCTCGCGGCCTCAGTGAGCCTTGTGCCTGCTGACACGCACACACACAGAGCACACCTGCACTGCACTTTGCTCCTTGACACCAAGTCCACTCTTCCCACTACTTAATCTTGCTCGCAGAAAAAGTCACCCAAGAACAACCGCACAGATGCAAGCCCCCCTCCCCGCTCCCCGAGGCTCCGGCCCCTGGGATCACAGCATTTACTTTGGTCCCCTGCTCACTTCCCGTCCTCGACCGGGAAGCGACAGCTCCCGGGACGCGCCCACCAGCCCAGGTCGATGGAGGCCACCACCCCTGGGTGTCCGTCCTGGGGAACCTCGTTTCTTGCCCCAAACGCAAACGCTTATTTTAAAAGCTGCCCCCGGCTCAGGAGTCGCCCTGACGGTGCCGGGCTTTACGGGGTTTCGGGTCTTCACGGAGTCCTACTAGTTGGCGTCACGGCCCCCGTTTCGCAGACGAGGACGGTGAGGTCGCCCCGCGCTGAACGCGGGGTCCACGCTCCCCGTGACCGCGTCCCTCGGCCTGTGTCCACGACGTTTCCGGTCCGGGCGGCTTCCGCGTCCCTGCCCACTCACTGCCCGGGTCCTCACTCACCGCCCAGGACCCACCGAAGGCGGCCGAGCGCCGTGACGCCTCCAAAGGGAGTCGGCTAGGCCGCGGCCATCTTTCTTCCGGGAAGAGGCGGGCCTCCAGGCCGTGAGGGCAGGCGCGACGTCCGCGCGAGGACGCCGGAGCCGCCATCTTGTCTCTGGGCGGAAACGGCCGCGCGGCCCTCCAATGAAAACGGCGCGCGAGGGCACGTGACGGACGGCCGGCCCGGCCCGCGGTCCGGCGGGCCTTGGACCTTGGGGTCTCCGCGCGCTCGCAGGCTCGCCGGCGCGCCATGAAGCTGCCACGGCGCGCGTGGCGGCACCGGACGACGCTGGGCCTGGTCGGCCTGGTGCTGTGCGGCGCCGCGCTCCTCTATCTGGCGCGCTGCACGGCCGAGGGTCCTGGTCCGTCGCCCGGCCGCAGCCCCGGGGCCCTGCCCGTCGGACCCGGACGCGCCAGTGCCTTCCTGGCTGTGTTGGTGGCCAGCGCGCCGCGGGCGGCGGAGCGGCGCAGCGTAGTCCGCGGCACGTGGCTGGCGGCGGCGCGGCGCGGCGGCCCCGGCGACGTGTGGGCGCGCTTCGCAGTGGGCACGGCCGGCCTGGGCGCCGAGGAGCGGCGCTCCCTGGAGCGCGAGCAGGCGCGGCACGGGGACTTGCTGCTGCTGCCCGCGCTGCGCGACGCCTATGAGAACCTCACCGCCAAGGTGTTGGCCATGCTGTGCTGGCTCGATGAGCACGTAGGCTTCGAGTTCGTGCTCAAGGCAGACGACGACTCGTTCGTGCGGCTGGATGCGCTGCTGGCCGATCTGCGTGCCCGCGACCCAGTGCGCCGCCGCCGCCTCTACTGGGGCTTCTTCTCAGGCCGCGGCCGCGTCAAGCCGGGGGGTCGCTGGCGTGAGGCGTCCTGGCAGCTCTGCGACTACTACCTGCCCTATGCGCTGGGCGGCGGCTACGTGCTCTCCGCCGACCTGGTGCACTACCTGCGCCTCAGCCGAGAGTACCTGCGCCTGTGGCACAGTGAGGACGTGTCTATGGGCGCCTGGCTGGCGCCCGTAGACGTGCAGCGTGAACACGACCCGCGCTTTGACACCGAGTACAAGTCCCGCGGGTGCAACAACCAGTACCTGGTGACGCACAAGCAGAGCCTGGAGGACATGCTGGAGAAGCACCAGACGCTGATGCGAGAGGGCCGCCTGTGCAAGCAGGAGGTGCAGCAGCGCCTCTCCTACGTCTATGACTGGTCTGCGCCGCCCTCGCAGTGCTGCCAGAGGAAGGAGGGCGTCCCCTGAGCGCTGCCGCTGCCATGATGGAGGGGCAGCAGCAGTGGGTCCCTTTTGGGTCCCGGTCTTACACCGGGAAAGGTGACACGTCTGGCTGGATGAGCCCAGCGCTCGAGGGGAACCTGGTCTCGTGACCACTGGGGCTTTCGGGCAAATGCCACACAGCAACGGACAGCTCTTAGGCCCCTGCCCCATCAGTGGCCACACCTCCAGTCTTGCTCCAAAGCATCTTGCTCTGGGTCTGGGAGACCCTGGGGCTGCTAGGGCAACGAATGCGTCATGTCCAGGTGGAGGTGTCCTGCCCCTAGATTTCAGCCAGCATTTGCCTGGACTGGGAAGATGCCCAGCTTCGGGTGTGAGCCGGGGAGAAACTTCCCAGTCTGTGGAAGGTTCTGGCCCTCCCCCCACAACTCCCCCACACCTGCCTGTCTTCCTGCTGTCCTGACCCGAGGCCGAAGCGAGGAGCTGAAGGCGGGAGCTGACCCCAGGCACAGATCTGACTTGTTCTGGGTGGAGACTGTGGCCCACCCTGCATCCACTGTGCTGACCGTCTGCCTGGGAGCGCCCTGGAGGCCCTGAGCAGCCGCTGTGTGTCCGTGGTGCGGTCGGGAGGCGTTTACGGGAACTGCCGCTGTCTCGTGGGGTCGGGCCACCCCCCTTGTGTCTCCTTTGGTGCCAGTCACGTGTGAGTCTGAATCAGCCTTCGTTTGATGTTGAGTAGCTTTGGCGTCCACGTCAGCGCCTGCCTGTGGTCTGTGTCTAAACATTGTGAACTTGTGTAGATAAGAGCTCCCGTCGGGAGCGTGAGGGTCTCAGTGTTTTTTAAATTATTTGAGAAGAGTTTCGTATCAGAACTTGCTACTTGTGGATTAATCTGTTTTCACAATGTGAACCATAGACTGCCGCCACGTGTGTGTTTAAGCATGGAAGAATTTTTAAACTGTCCATTTTTCTTTTCAGTTTACACATAAGTCAGCCCCACTGTCTCCCGCCGAAAAGACTTTCCTTTTAAGGCCTGCGCGGGGCTGCGCGGGGGCAAGGGTTTCCCCCTCGTGCGTCTGTTTTTGAGCCCCAGTTCTGGGAATCGGAACTCTTGGAATGCGGACGAGGCTTCCCGAGTTCCGTCTTAAGAAAACAGGCCGGGCGGCCAGTGCGTCCTCGTGGGGAGGAACGCAGCGAGGCGTGCCGGGTGATCTGTGGGCACACCCGCCGCCCTCCGGGGGCCCGTCTTCCTTTCTCCCCCCCACCCCGTTGGCTGAGAGGTGGGGGCTGCGGTCACCGCACGGGGAGACAGAGTGGCGGCCCGCAGACGTCTGCGAGCCCTCCCTGGCCGGCCACGGACACACGCCGGGCGCTTTGTCTGGGCGAGCGGCGGGCTGTGCCCCTGCGGTCTCAGGTCCACGTCAGGGCCCTGCGCACAGACCTGCAAACCTCCAGCCTGCGTCTCCACCCACCGCCGGTCGTGTTCGTCCTCAGGCACGAATGTGGGAGCAGCTGCCCGTCGGCCCGGCCGCCCTCACAGGTCCCCCAGACCAGCAGCAGCTTCGACAGCAGGCGGTTACCTCCGACGGCCCTGGAGGCGGGAGGTCCGGGATTGGGGAGCTGGCAGGGTCGGGCTCTGGCCAGGGCTCCTCCTGGTGTCCCCCTCCTTGTGCCCTCTCTGCTGAGGACATTGATCCATCACGGGGGGCGGGGGGGCGCCTCCAGACCTCCTCCCTGCCCGTCCCCTCCTAACACCGGCACACGGGGGTCCGGGCTTCAAACTGGTCAGTCCACCTCGGCAGGTTCAGGGTGTTTCTGATTAAAGGTAGAAGAACTTGGAACTCGGGGTCATGGGCCGCAAGGGCAGGGGTGTCGTGCTCAGTGACCACAGTCGTGCCACCTTCAGAAGGCAGAGGCTGAATCTTGGTGATCCCAAGATTCTGCGTGATTCTGATGGCAAGGTAAGTAAGCTTTCCGACAGGCTGCCTGGAGGAGGAACTATTTCTGCATACACCTTGTTCACGGGAGAAGGATCCGTAAGAGGGTCCAGGTTCGGGGACCCCAGGGCGAGCGGAACGGGGCCCTGCCTCCCAGTGGGATGCTGGCAGCACCCGGGCCCCGTCTCCGCCAGCCACGGTCGCCTGGGCGGTGCCGCCTGAACCTCGGGGCCCTCGGAGCAGCTCGTGTGCGTGGCCTCCCGTCTCAGATGGGGAGCAGGTGCTTGGCGGGGCCAGAGCTGGGGCCGAGGCCCGCGTGGCTGGTGGCCTAGCCAGGCCTCTGGTCGAGGGCTGGACTCCAGGCTCCTGCCCAGCACCACCGGTTCCTGCCATACCTTCCAGGTTTCTCCGGAGAGCGGACCCCCCAAAGCACAGCAGCTGTGACCATGCCTCCCCAGTCCAGGCGCGTGTCCTCAGGGGACCGGGGCTTCAGCGTTTAGCTGAACCACGTGCGACCGGATCTGACCTGCAGAAATGGAGCTCTCCCGTTCAGCCTGCGCCTTGAGGTTTCAAAACAGAGCCAAGTCGGGGCTGCCTTGGCACATCCACGCTGCGGCTTGTGCCGTGCCTGCCGGGTTCAGCCGGAGCCGAAGACCAGCAGCCTCTCCCTAGAGTGACCCCCCAGGCCCTCCCCGACCCGCGGTCCTGGGTGGAGCCTGCCCCCCTCAGGCCTCTGCTTCTCATCTCCTGAGGGCAGATTCTCCCGGCCAGGGTGCCGGCCCAACCTCCCCGCTCCCCAGCACCTTCCCCTGCCCCAGGCTCCTCTTGGGGTGGGGTGGGGCTGGTCACGGTGCACCCCCTGCCCCTGCCCCAGGCCGCCCTCAGCCCGCGGCTCCCACGTCCAACTCACTGTGGGGCCCACGCCGTCTGGACCTGGTTGTCCTGAAGCCCGGGGCTGAGCCCAGGCTGTCTGTGAGGCCGGTGCTGGCCTGGGGCCCAGGAGGGAGGCGGGGGTGTCGGGCGTGGGGCCCGCAGCAGCAGCAGCAGCAGGGTCAGAGGGGAAAAGGCGCCAGTGGGTGCTCACCCTGGGTCGCAGCTCCTTCGTCTCCCTGCAGCTGGAGAGGGACCGAGTGCCTCGGCCAAGGTCCCACAGCAGGAAACCGGGGACCTTCAAGCACCAGTAGCTGGGAGGAACCCTAAGGGGCTTGCAAAGGGAGGAAAGGTCACGTGCTGCCTGCCCCCCACAGGCTCCCGCCCACCCCTCCAGCGTGTCCCCTGCTCCGGGCCTGCGCCAACCCTGGTCCACTGGAACGCCACCTCCTCCAGGAGGCCCATCAGACCACCCACCGCCTGCAAGGCCCTAGAAGCGAGACTGGCTCGGGAGCCAGGAGCCCCTCCCCTGTCCACCTGGGCCCAGCTGGGTGGGACAGGTGGCTGCCCAGTCTCCCCGTTTGCAACCCCAGAATTTGAAGTGCCGAGACCCCCTCTCGGACCCCAAGCGAGCTCTCCGTCCGCCCACCCACCTGGGTGGGGCCTCTGCTCGGCCGTGGGCCTGGTCCTCGGGGACCTGCTGTCGATGGAGTTCTTCCTCAAAGACCGCGGTCGACGCTGGCCCCCACAGCCCGCGCCCGTGGGCTCGTTCGCAGACGCCCTCGCTGTAAGAGGGGTCACGCGGGGGACCCCCACCGCGGTGCGCCCGGTGTCCCTGCCGGAGGAGGGGACGGTGGGGGACGGGGCAGCAGTGAGCCCACCGCCAGGAGGGCCCCTCCGGAGGAGGCCGGGAAAGGCCAGGCAGGGCTGCACCCAGACGCTCCAGGGGCGGGGAGGGGAGCGCGGCCCCCCCCCCGGAGCCCAGGTCGGCCTCAGGACTGGGGAGAGCAGGTGTCCGTGCCTCAGCCCCGCCATCGGTGGCGCCTTGCCCCAGGAGACCAGCAGCCCCAGCCCCAGTGCCAGCGGCCTCGTCCCTCCGGACTCCGGGCGCGTGTGGGAGGGCCGCGCTGGGGCTCACAGGCCCCTCGGCCCCTCGCAGGGCCCAACCTTCCCCGCCTCCTGGGGTCGACACAGTCCCGTCGGCCCCCTGGGCTGAGAGGACGGCCCCACCGTGGCCACGGCCTGCGGAGGCTTCACCGCTCCGGCGGCCAGAGCCTGGCGTTCTCTCCCTCTGGCCCCGGCCTCGCCCCCGACGGGCTGGCGTTTCAGCCCAGAACCCACAGGGTCTGCTGGGCAGCCGGCCCTCCTTCCTCGGTCCCAGCCCCCAGGGGTTCTCTGGAGGTCCCCAGAGGAGGTTCAGGGGTGCCCCCCCCCGTGAGCCTAGGGCACCCTCTGCTCTGCCCCCCGTGCCTGCACCCTGGTGCCCAGGGCTCGAGGTGGAGGTGGCGCTGCCTTTCCCCTGGACAGCCGGCTCTGGGTTGACTGGCTTCTCTCCCGCAAGAGTCTGGGGGGCAGGTGTAGGGCCTCCCTGTGCGTCTGGACACCTGCTGCCCATTTGTCCACCCCCCAGGCCAGAGAGGTCTCCCGGTCCTGAGGCCCTCCACTCCTGGGTCTCCCACGGGGGGGCCCCTCCCAGCCCCTGAATGGAGGACCCTCCCACAGCTGTGGGAGCGGGAGCAGATCCACCCCTCCCCCAGCATCGGGCCCTCGCGAGGGAGTCCCCTGGGAGCCGGCCTCCTCTGCCTGTGCCCCGGCCAGCCTCGCTCCCGCCACAGGGCCCCCCGCCCCCTGCCACGTGGCTTCGGCAGGCATGCCACGCCCGTGGCCGGGAGCCCAGTCGGAGCCCCTGCTCTGCCCTGGCGGGTGGGGGTTCAGAGGAAGCCTATGGCCACGGGGCGGGGGGGCCGCGCTCTCTGTAGGGGCCTTACAGCCCCTCTCACTGGCCGTCCCCTTGACCGACGTGGAAAACGAGTGACTAGGGAGAGGCCCGCAGCCCCAGGGGGCAGGTGCAGGGCCCCCAGGGACCCTCAGAGCCGGGCCAGCGGGACTCTGCCCGGGAGCCAGCCGCAGATGCCCGAGTCAGGTGTCTGGGCAGGGGTGCAGCCCCCAGTCCCAGCACCAGCAGGCGCCCAGGGGCCTGCCAGCCCCACCCGACTCGCGGGGCCCTGCGGAGAACGGAGGCTCCCGGAGACCCAGTCCCTCGGGGTGGGGGCGAGGAGGCCCCTGCCTCCTCCTGGACACACTGGGGGCTGCTGCTGCGCCACCTCCAAGTCAAGGGTCTCCACAAAGGGGTCCCCACTGGAGCCTGGAGATGAGAGCCGCCCCTGCCCTGGGGAGGTGGGCAGCCGGAGCTGGGACCAGGGAGGCGCCGCAGTCGGGGGGAGGGGTCAGCAAGGGGCCACTGCTGGCCCAGCTACTCGGCAGAACAGCCAGGGGCCGGCCCACACCCCGACGCCTGCACCCACATGTGCAGGTGGAGCCCTGCTGCCTCTGGCCTGGGGTCCCTGTCCTCTGGCCGTGGCCCCTGCTCCTGGCCGGTGGGGCCCCCTAGGCAGGGCTTGGCTGGCCGT